GGCCATTTGGGATAACCACGCTTGTACAAGTTCATGCACACAACGTCATGTTGCTGCACCACTCCATTGAATATGCATTTCATTGCCCCTGTGCAATTTCGACGTCTATAAGCAAAGATTCTAGAAACCAAAACATAAAATCTCTCTTTTCTTAAAATAACAAACAATGTCTTACCATGTGTACCCACAGGCTCCTTCACGCGACCACGACGCCCACATTTAGACCACACTTCTACAGGCTGCACATAAAAAACATTTGTTACATCCCCAAGCTTTTAGCTTTTACTCTCTTATTTTATGACTAATATCATATGTTTCCTTCTCTTTCTTACCTTAAACCATCTCACGTCTTCCGGGTTATGGAACATATATCTCACTGATGCTTTCATCTTTGATACTCTCTGAGGATACCTGAACCAAGCCAAATTCATAACTGATTAACATATATTGGTTCACATATATTATATTTAATCTTTAAATACAAAGAGAGTGTATTGAAACTATAAAAGGTATAAGTATATTACCCAGTTAATATTATCTTCTTCAAGATTATTTTGTTGGGTTCAATGCTTTTCAAGGAACCAAGAGCAGCAACGGCAGGAGCATCCGACCCTTCAGAAATCTTCAGAACTACCAAAGGAAGTGATGGGAAAGATATTGGGCCGTATACTGAAGCCAATGAGAAACGCCCTGGATGCAGAAACCGCTCCATCTTGTGCTTGTCTGAGCGGAAATTGTCGGTTGAAAATACTGGCCTGGAAAATTTAACCCCACCATTATGATTTAAAGATTGCAAACAAGAAAAGGTATCATTTAGATGAAACATGAACAGATTTTCAACCTTGCAACGAATTGGCGGAAACCAACATGGAACATAAGCTCCTCTTTTGTTTTAATAGGATCTTCATAACCATCATACTTCTTAACGCTGCAGAGATGATAAGTTAGTAGTCAAAGGATACAAAATCTCATCGACAAACAAACAAAAATATAAGCAGTAAAGAGGGTGATTACCTAAAGTGCAGAACCGACATCTTGGATTCATGCTGTAAAAGCCCAAATGCTATAATGGGTCTCGTGTTCACAAGGAAGGATAGTTTAGAGGCAGCGACAATAGGCACTTCCTTAATATGAAGCCGTACGTATGACCCAGTTGGTACACAATCATCTCGGCTTTCTTCTTCCATCTTCAGGGCTTGCTTGAGGACAAGCTTTTGAGTCCTTACGAGATTATCAAAAGCAAAGATTCTGGCATAATCCTGAGGTAGGGACTCCTGCATTTGCCAACAAGTAACAAAATTTAGCAACACTTAACAGTGAAAGGAAAACAATAAGATTCACGTCAAAATCAGTGTAACAACATTTGGATCCCATGAGGACGTTCTGAAGGATTTGAGACCCCTATACTTAGCAAAACGTTTTCTTGCAGGCTGATCAATGGGAGTCTCTACTTCATCAGGAAATTCTGAATAGCAAACAAACGTAGAAATCAGTGAGCAACTGAGAGACTCGGACACTCTAAGAAAACTCAAATGAATATGTGCAAGTAAAAACGTTTTGACCAACCTTCATCCTCAGCATGCGCCTCTTTTATTTTCTTCATTTGATCCTCATACTGATCCCTTGTCAAGTTATCTTCATCCTGAACCATGGTAGATCGGCTAATGACTTTAGCAAGATACTCAATCTTAATATAAAAAAAGCAGTACGTGGAGAAAAAGCTTACCATCATCTCGGAGTCATTATAAGTTTCATTATCCACAATTCGCAGTGTTTCTTTATCATCCTCAAAATCTGGGTCTTGATAGGAGAAGTGATTCTCTTCTTTATCTAACGCCATTTCATCATCCGAATCACCATTATCAGAATCCTCTTCATCTATTTCGTCAATAATCCAAGCAGCCTGCGAATCAAATCAAAAACAATCAAAATAAGAGGTCGCCGAATTATGACATATTGTGGAAGGCAACTCCACCAGAGACAGGAATAGTAGAAAATAAAGCTAAAAATCATCCAGAAACCTGATAATCTGACGTCCCAAGTGGCAAAGTCCTCTTCTTTAGCTTTCCCTGTTTCTGACTTCTGTCAGCCTCGGCCATCTCTGCCTCAGTTGGCCATGTCTGCACAATTGGAGCATCAAGTGTTTTTCAGAACAGATAACAACACAAGAAAAAATGGCGGCTTCATCTGTTAAAGAACTAATCAGACTTACTTGTTCCCCTGCTAAAGGATCTGGAGTGTTTTCAGCTACTAAAGGCTCTTGTTTCATGGGATCAGGATGCAGAGACCTCAATACCTAGTCAATTCAAAAACAGGTAAATATCCTGACAAAGCGATGGCCATGGTATAGCATCATAAACGTACAGTAACAACTTTATTCTTACTAAGTAAACAGCTTAAAGAGCTTCACGAGGGGTATCATATATTCAACCATAATAGGTACTGACAATTCCAACAACCATATAGATTGTTCGCCTGTCACTTTATTTAAAGAATGCTGTTCTAGCATTCAGCACAATATGCTCTTCAAGGTAAAAGACTAAATTTTTATCGATAGTTAATGAAAGTATCATGTACCTCTTCATCATGTGAATCATCCAGTTCCATGGAATTCTGTTTTTTCCTTTCATTCAATGGAAATGGGTCCTTCAGGACTTCAACTTCTGAGAGCTGAAAATCACCGACGCCAGAAACGTGGACCTAATATAAAGAAAACAATTTACGGGGTCAGACTTTGGTATAGCACAAGGGATGAGAGAAAGAGTAGAAAGGCTTGATTACCAGCTGATTTACAGATAATTTGCGAGCACGCAAGTAACCAGAGAGAAGCAGAGTGCAATTTCCTGAGCTTTCATCGGCCACTAGCATCCCAACCTAAATGTACCATTCAAGAATATGGAGATACATTACTTTTTACGAAAGCTTTTTCTTAGTCAAATTAGATTTTATCAATTGAAGCATAAACCAAGCACCTTATCAGGTACAAGATATGGCCGTTGACTTCTCCAATGAGGTACTGTAAGCCTTTGTGCCTTGAATAACCACATAAACTGCAAAAACACCAAGAAGTGTGTATCTGCATCATCTACACTTAGCTATAGGCTATTTGGAGACACTAAATCTTTTGAAGACCACTGAATAAAATAATATAACAATCACGGGAGTTTACCTTATGCAACTCATCTCTAGTATCTGCTGGATAAAACTTACAATCCTCAGGAAATTCAGAAGCCAGTTGGGAGGCACACATCTTTTTCAGCTCATTTTTCTTTTTCAACTCACTGGGTAAATCCTGCAATCAATCGAGAAGATAAACTTCAAAGCAGAGTTTAAGAGATCTGAGACCCCTGGTACAGACCAATTGCAGCAAAAAACTTACACGGATCAACACAGTGGTACTTGGTAGACCAATAGATCTAAGCACAGAGAGGAACTGACTTCCGAATGAGTCAATGAAGCTAGAAATATTCCCTTCCCATGGGGAATTTGCAGATACAACAAAAGCCATCAAATCAGCAACCTATTTACCAGCAGTAAGAAATGATACCTCAGTTAGCACCAATGACAAAATTTTCTAGGTGAAGAAACAAACAAACAAACAAACGCATGCAACGAAAATTATCATGCCTTAGCCATTTCCATGCATGTCAGAAGATCTCCGTGAGGCGCCTTCAACACCTGTGACATACTCAGCGCATGAATTCGATTGAGCTTTTAATGCATATATAAAAATAACCAAAGTTGTAAGGGAATACACATACAGTTGCTCTAAGCTTATACTCAGAAGATGCAACTGTAGAAGAAGAAGTGACTCCATCATCAGATAATAGCTTTACAACATCTTCACCAACTGAATTCAAATCCACAGAAGCAGATAGAGGAAACAATACCTATCACATCATAAACAGAGTTTTAAAGCTGCGTTTAAAACTAAAGGCTGTAACTTTCTAAGCACAAAGGTTCCTGTAAACAACACTGAGTAAAAAAAACTCACGATAACACGAGGAGCACTGGATGCTCCTCCTGAAGCTCTCTTCTCCTTCAAAACTGCTGCTCTCTTCTGCTCTCTCAGCTAAAAACTCATGAAAGAGAGAGAATTAGTATCGTTCAAGAGTCAGAGATTAATAATAAAAAAAGGTGTAGGGAAGGAGAATCACCATTTTGCCACGCTGGAGACGAGCAGCTCTAGCACCTTTGACATGGTTACCCTCCGCTTTACCAATCCGGGCTCCTCCATCTGATTCAATTTGCAAAATTGTCAGGTTATTCTGAAGATGGAAAGAGACGAAATTTGTTGATGGGTTTTACCTTGGAGAGAGGTTTTGTGGAGATTTCGGGAAGATTTGGAGGAGAAACGAGTCTTGTGAGCCTTATTGACTTGAACTCGAGATTGCCCCATGGTGACTGCAACGAAAGAATGAAACAAGCAAAGGAGAAGAAGTGTTCGTTTCTTTTAAACCCTAGGTTTTCAATTTTCGTATTGGGCCTTATTAGACAAGCATTTTACGTACTTCACTTTTCTTTATAAGCCCATTAAGGGCCTATTAGGGTTAAGTCTTTGAAGACAGCCCCTAACCTAAATGATAAGAGTTTACTTGTTAAAGTGACTTTCGGTTTACACTTGGATTCAAGAATCAGCCATGAGGATTAAATCACAAATATTCCAATAAAAAATGTTAGACTATTTACTTTTTATTAGTGAAGAAAACTTCTGATTTCTTTTTTTTTTCTTTGCTACTCTGCATTTTGTAAAAATACCAATACCTCTAATTCATAAAATTATGACTTTTTTCCAAAGCTACGTTGCCTTTCCTCTTTTATTTGTGGGGTAATAGAAAACTTACTAGATATGAACAACTGTCCATTTTTTAAAATTGAATAATTTCAACTTTCTCGGAGGTTAACTCCCTGTATATATTGTATGTTGTTTGCTTCAAAGAAGAAGAAAAATATACTAGCATTATTCTTTCAAAAGTTATCTTTAGTTTTTTCTTTACAAAATGGATATTGCGATATCAAACCTTTTCAGCGATCCATTACATCCTGCTTTGATCATATCAAAAACACTATCAGAGACTGATATCAAAGAAAACATGAGATTACCGAAACAAGAAATTGAGTACGTGCTTGCGATCATGGGTGGTGTGACAGCTGAAGAATTGCAAATCGGTAAGAAAGTGATAATATCCGACTTAGTGGAAGGTGATCAATACGAAGTTTTCTTAAAGTATTCAGACACTAAAAAAAAATACACCATTGGGGAGGGCTGGGCTAAACTGAGAGATTCGCTAGATCTCGAAGAAGGCCAAACTCTGAAGCTCTACTGGTATCAAGATTTCAAGATATTCGTGATTCTCAATTTTCCTTATAATCTACTAGACTAGAAGTGTAGTGCAAATATGCTTCTTCTTCCTTATTGATTTTTTTTTTCCAGTTTTAAATTTCTCTAGCTATGTTTTGGATTTTATTTATATTCTACTACTATTTAAGTGTTGTTTTTATTTTAAGAAAATTTTATTGGAATACCTTGAGTTTCAGAAAAAAAACATCCCTCTCTATCCGACCAGTGATTTGAACAACATGCATGTCGTCTCTTTCTAAAGTTTCACAAACTGTGGCTACAAAAGCGTGGAATAAGCATTTTTTTTACCAGCTTTTATTAATTGGAAAGTTATACAAATATTGTTTGTACAGACCAAATCGTCGAAAGAGGTAACGGATGATTTCTCAGACCAAATAATAAATCAATTGNGGTTGTTGATGTCCAGCACCATTTATGTTTGTTATTAGATTCCAATGAGATGGCTCATGAGTACTTCCATTGACTTCATCGCTTCCATTATCTCTTCGCGATTCTTAGAATTGACAAGCTTTTCGTCGTTCCACCAAAACCCTAACCCTCCTAGATCATTGCGAGCCATACATACATATACCGAGGTCTTCTCTCGCGGTTATGGTATCACCAAGATGAAAGCCTCTAATCGATTCAGCAGCTTTGCGGTTGAAGACTCACGATAAAAGACAATATATAAATATAGTTCTTTTTCTTTATTTGATCTTTATGTTGTTAGTTCTTAGAGGCGATGAGTCTAGAACTTCACAGTCGCCAGCTTAGTATCACACTCAAGCTGTAATCGGTTACCATTGATAGATAATAAGAAGAAGAGTTCATTGTTTACAAGAGTTAGAGATGGCTAAACTCTTATCACATTTCCCTCAGCAGTGTGTCCATCTTGTGCAATGAACGCCAGTATCAAGCTGCCAAGATAAGCTCCAATGTCGAAACCCATGGGTCCATAAAACGAAAACTCAGGATCACCATATATATTAGAGCTTGAGCTCTTTTACAGAATGAATACACAATGGTTTAAAAGTAGATTGTTCTTCTAACTCTGTGCCACAGCCACCAGCATTTCTTCAGCACCAAGCATTGTTAAGGTGTTGGACTCCTCGAGGTAAAAAGACATGACAGTCCATCTTCTTGTTCTTGAATTTTGGTTTACTTAATACAGAGTGTTTTCTAAGTGATCTTTTTGTTTATTTGAGTTTACATTTGCAACTCCAAACAAATAAGAGAGCATATGGAAGAAGAAGAAGGCTTAACCAATGATGAAGTGAAGGGTCATTTACAGGTAACATAACTAAAAAGAAAAGTTAAGGCCTGTTGTTACTAAGAACACATCTTTACATTTTCTATGTGCTATGTAGAAGTACCAGTTACATATCAGGAAGCAAAATTCGAATCCGGAGAAACAGTCAGTAGTTGTTTTAGGATTTAACTTGTGGACTTCATCACAAGAGGAAGAAGAAACTGGTAAAGATTCATATGGTGATAGGTGACCTCGTCGAATCACAGCTTTAGAACAAATAGATGAACAAGTTGCACAAGAAACTTGAACAACTTGCAGAGAAACATAAACACACAAACTTTTGGCCATACTTATTGCCTCTTTTTGGCTTTTTCATTGATATATAAAGGAAAGAAACAAGTTAGAGACTCTGTTCCTACAAGTACGTGAAATAGGAAAGTGGAAGAAGTGAATTCCTAAACCACAGGAATACAATTTCTTCTTATTGACTCTCAGCAAGAAAATCAAAGACTCGATAAATAAAGTTACAAGAAATACTCAAACGTATCTCCGGTTTGGGCTCCCGTACGGTTTGATACTCTTCTCTTCGGTTCAGCAACTGCAACTTCATCACATGGTTTGAAATTATATTTTCAAACGTTCACCTTGTTGAAGCCCACATACAAGTGGCCAGCTTATGGTACATTTAGAAGTTTCAATAACATGTAATAGGGGTTTCTAGACTGATATAAATAAGGCCTTAGACCATGTTTATCGCGAGTAACTAGAGAGTTTCTTAACCTTAATTGATGATTTAATTAAATTAAAAGAAAAGAAAAATCATACTGTATTACCGATCAACAAATATCTGAAATGTAATAAAAGACAATAAGCCGAAGTTAGTCATAGTGTTGTTAGAATAAGAATAGCTAAGAGAACTCACTGTTGAGTTGTTTGAGTCCCCATCAGACATCGAACCATTTCCTCCATGTCCACCAGCAAGTGTCAGAGCTAAAATTCAATTAAAACATAACAAAATGCTAAGTTAAAAAAACACCAATACAACAAACTAAAACGTTACCATGACTTACCTTGTGAACCATTTTGTTGGCCATAAGCAGCAGCCCTTTTAGGTGTTGCAATACCAACACGCATCTGCCTGCTCGAGCAGAAAGCACCATTCATCTCAGTCAACGCCCTTGACCGCTCGTTCTCATCACCAAACCTGACAAACCCGTAACCTTTGGAACGCCCAGTGTTGGAATCAATCACAACTTTTGCACCTTTGACAGATTGGTATCCAGCAAAAGTCTCGAGCAATGTAGCATCAGTGACATCTGGAGCTAAGTCTCCAACGAATATCGACAGGTCTGGACCACCGTTCTCTGATGCCCTCTTCTCACCGGTACTGAAAGACGCCCAGTTCAAACGGAAGGGCTGCTCTGCGTTGGGCATTGTTACACCGCTATAGTTTTGAAGAACTTCCTCAGCTGCTGAACGTGAGAGGAATTCCACAAAACCATACCCTTCTGGCTGAGAAGTTTGCTTGTTTCTTATGACTTTACAGAAGAAACCTGAAACATTGCAAAACAAGAAACCAGACAGAACATGAAACCATGTTGGAAAAGCTAACAGTAAAAAAAAAAGACAGAACTTTAAAGTTTGTTCTTTTAAAGGTCGACGTAGTTCTACATAGTCCTGGACATATTGCTCGAGAATCTAAAAACAGAAACGGATCGAAATTTACACAAAAAAAAAAAAAGGTTATTATTTTCCTATAGTGGGAAATCCAAAACCGAACCGAAATATCCAAATATTTTTTTGGTTTTTAGTCTTAGAGGTTTTCGGTTTTTTGGCTTTAAACTCGAACCAAACATGAACTACTCCTAATCGGGTTCACTTTGGTTTTATAATGAAAATAGAAAACCCCATCCGAACCCAACATTATCCAAACAGATCTGATCTGAAAATTGTTACTAAACTGGTCTTAAACACCTAAGCCCAAAAATCGAATAACCGGAACCGACTAGAACCAAAAACCGAAATACCCAGCACTAGTTCTACAACATACTAAAAGTCAACCATATGGCTTGTATGTTACTCAGATCTGGTAATGAATGTTACATCTATCACTTTCAATATGTATAAAACTAAATAGATTATTAATATTATTATTATTATAAAATTATATGTTCTTATTGTATTTAGATGATTAATTTTGGATATAAATTAGATTATTCGAGTCATTCATTTTGTGAGTATATTGAATATAATATATTTTTTAAATTAAAATTGAATAATTACTTTTTATTTTAGTTAAGTCAAATCAATTAGTTTTATTTATCTCTTAAATATACATGTATTTTCATAATATTTATTTACTATTTATTTTATTTAAGTCAAATCAAATTAGTTTTATTGATTGCTTAAATATACATTTTTTTCATAATATTTATCAAATTATAGGTTGATTTTTAAAAAAATATTAGAAAATAAAGTGCAACTGATAAGTTTTTGGATGTTCATGAACATATATATTTTTATTATTTTGAAAATATATTTTATGTTATTTCAAAATATATATTAATGGGGTATTACTATTTTGTGAACTTTCCATTTTAATAAAGTCATATTATATACATTTATTTTCGTTTTTAAAATTTGTTCTAAAATTTTTGAAATATTTCCTTTTTATTATATATGTTATTTGGAAAAAGGTAAAAAACACTAAATAAAAAATCATAATCTTAAAATCTAACAATTCATTAAGGGTATCTATGTAATCAACCATCGTGAGAGCTAACGTGAGCGCGACACGTAAGAAACTGACTTCTCAAATAATATTATAGAGATTCAAGAATCAACCATGAGGATTAAATCACAAATATTCCAATAAAAAATGTTAGACTATTTACTTTTTATTAGTGAAGAAAACTTCTGATTTCTTTTTTTTTTCTTTGCTACTCTGCATTTTGTAAAAATACCAATACCTCTAATTCATAAAATTATGAATATTTTCCAAAGCTACGTTGCCTTTCCTCTTTTATTTGTGGGGTAATAGAAAACTTACTAGATATGAACAACTGTCCATTTTTTAAAATTGAATAATTTCGACTTTCTCGGAGGTTAACTCCCTGTATATATATGTTGTTTGCTTCTAAGAAGAAGAAAAATATACTAGCATTATTCTTTCAAAAGTTATCTTTAGTTTTTTTCTTTACAAAATGGATATTGCGATATCAAACCTTTTCAGCGATCCATTACATCCTGCTTTGATCATATCAAAAACAATATCAAAGACTGATATTGCAGAAAACATGAGATTACCGAAACATGAAATTGAGTCCGTGCTTGCGATCATGGGTGGTGTGACAGCTGAAGAATTGCAAATCGGTAAGAAAGTGGTAATATCCGACTTAGTGGAAGGTGATCAATACGAAGTTTTCTTAAAGTGTTTAAACAACAAAAGATACTACATTGGGGAGGGCTGGGGTAAACTGAGAGATTCGCTAGATCTCAAAGAAGGCCAAACTCTGAAGCTCTACTGGTATCAAGATTTCAAGATATTCGTGATTCTCAATTTTCCTTATAATCTACTAGACTAGAAGTGTAGTGCAAATATGCTTCTTCTTCCTTATTGATTTTTTTTTTCCAGTTTTAAATTTCTCTAGCTATGTTTTGGATTTTATTTATATTCTACTACTATTTAAGTGTTGTTTTTATTTTAAGAAAATTTTATTGGAATACCTTGAGTTTCAAAAAAAAACATCCTTCTCTATCCGACCAGTGATTTGAACAACATGCATGTCGTCTCT